AGAGACAGTCAGCATGAGCACTTCAGGCAAAGTAAGCAAGCAATTTATTTTAGAAAGTTCTCCTCATTGCAGATGATAAAGAAACTGGTACAGAATTGTTGTTTTTAAATTTGTGACTCTTAATATTTTAATAATTCATAAAACTCTTAAATAATGTTTGGCATAAACATGGTATGGAGTGTTTGTTGTGCTGCTCAAGAATATAAGCACTGTGCTGAAAATGAGCAACAAAGTTTAAATGCAGAACTTTGCTTTTCGAACATGCCCTATCAAGGCATAGCAGCAAAATCAAAATGAAACCCTATCGTTTGTGCATTTATTTTGTATCAGGTTGTTTAGCTGAATACATTTCAGGTTCATTTTTTGTTAAGTGCTTATTAAATGATACATTTATAACTTTCGTCCTGAAAGATTCCAAAGTGCTTTAAGCTGTGGGCATATGGATAGTGTTTTTCTATTTTGTCTTCCTTTTTAAAAAAATTAAATACAAAAAATCAAGACCAAGTTTATGGAGTCTTAAGTTTGCTAATGTAACTGTAGAAATGTCCATTCAGAACCAAAATGTACACAGCACTTGTAACTTAACCACGGTGAATACATATCTTAAATAAATGACGATGAACAACAAATACTGCAATAAGAAAAGGAGTACTTGGGGCACATTAGAGACTAACAAATTTCAGCATAAGCTTTCGTGAGCTACAGCTCACTTATGCTCAAATAAATTTGTTAGTGTCTAAGGTGCCACAAGTACTCCTTTTCTTTTTGCGAATACAGATTAACACGGCTGCTACTCTGAAATACTGCAATATATACCATATGCAAAATAGGGCTAAATTATGGTTGCTTTGGGAAACTTAATGTGTAAATATTATCTACTGATCAAAATCATTTATTGAATATTTTCCTGTTCAATATTTAATTTGTAAAATTTATAATTTCACCAAAGATAAATAAAAATGAGTATTTACACCTCTACTAGGCTCTTGTAGTTTCCATGCTGTTGTAGATGTCATTGATAGATTTGGTTTCCTACATTTAATCAAAGGGACTAAAAAACCTTGATATAAGAATACTGGATTTTGATAGATGAACATGAGCTCTGCCAGATGAAACACCTAAAGGAAGAATATACATCACTGATGCACTCATTAAGAAAGTTCTGTTGAGGCTATATTTTTTTGTTCTATGTCCAGCCAGATTGTGTATAAAGAAGGGTTACTACATTGCAACAGAAATTTTGCCCCAAGACTTGTAGAAAGTTGGAGATGTTCTGAAGCATCTGACTGTGTGACCCCCAGCTTGTGCTGGGAGTTCTAATGGTTCCTACAATAATCCAATGGGTGAGTGCATGCCTAGGGCTCCCACTGAACTCAGTGGAACTTCTTCAGAGGGAGCCTTATGTACTTATACAGAAAGAATTGGGTTGAGATATATTTGTTTGTGTTAGGAATTTGTAATTCATAGTTTGGAGGTTTCAGCTACATTTCTATCCATAAACTATGCAGGACTTTGTCCTTTACAGATTGTGAAATCCGTATCGCCACATGGTAAATGGAATACTATGTAAGACCAAAATGTACAAGCTTTTTCTTTTTCCCCACTCGTGTCCTGTATCTCTTTAAAATGTGATCTTTGATCTCCACTGTAAATTGATGTTGGACATCCTTATGTCTGACATGTGAATTTGCAGACCTCATGGAGCATTTTTATTAAGTTTGTCCCTATAAAGGATTACAGTCATTCCCATCTTGAGTCAATGTGCTGGGGCTGGACTATTTTGTTGCACTCGGCTATTATTTTGTCTAACTTAATTTTTTTTGTTCAGATAATAGGATTTATTACTAATTGGAAATGTTCTTATTTTGTACTTTTGTTAAGCAAAAATTGGTATTTTCTCACTGCTCTGATGATAAAATCCTTTTGCATTTGTCAAGCCGGCTGGAGTAGCTGACTAGCATGAGTGACAACCTCAGGGCGGACTGTCAAGAAGAAGGACTCAAATCCCAAATTGGTTGGGAGTTCTACACTTCGATTTCACCAGCCAAGAAGTATGAACTCCAAGCGCTACAGCAATCTAACCATGGAGTCACAGATAGTCTCCTGGCGTAACCCAGTCTGTATTGCCACTCGGGCAAACTTGCCTTTGTGATAGATGGTCCCTTTCACTAAAAAAAATCACAAGCAATATTCAGGTCACTCCCAGTTCCAAAGGGCCAGTCACTTACCCCAGGTCAATTGCACCTTAGACCTCACACCAAAAGACAATACTTCTAGCCAATCCTATAATAAACCAACGAAAGGTTTATTAACTAAAACAAGAAATGTTATTTACGAGGTTAAAGCAGGTGAACAAATCAGTTAACCTCTTTGGTTCCAAAAGGTAATAGAAGCTGCTGTGATATGCAAGCATTCTATGCTCTTGAGAGCTACTCCAAGCTAAGCAGCTTGAGGATCCCAAGCTTCTGTTTAGAAACATTGCCCTCTCTGAATGCCAAGCACCACAGTGATGCAGTTCCTTCTGGTCAGGGATTTTTATATCTTTGAGTTCAAACTCATGGGACAAGTGTTTGTGCCCATCTCTTCTTCATGGATGGGTGTGTGAGAGGGGGCACAATCAACAAAGTCTTTGGCCTTTTGATGTTTCACAGTGGCTTATTTGGTTTCAATAGGCCTTCTTGTGTGAAAGACCAGCACTTTACATTAATTGATGCTTCTTTTCAGTTTGAGTTACGCAGGAGATTCACAAAGCAAACACTCAATATAACTTTATACCATGGGATATGGAGGTTATAAGTGAGATCAATACATCCTGCAAACATTTCATCAGGTCTAAAGACATTCTTATAAACTTAACATCTCTTTTAACAACACTAACATACAGCTGAGCCAGTCTGGTTTTCAGCTGTGCATTTGTCAGGATTTGGGGAGGCCTTGGCATGAGCTTGTCAGCATTACATATAAAGGCCTAGTCCTGCAAAAACATGTGTGCGCTTAACTTGGTGGACTGTGGGCTTGATCCTGCTGCCACTGATGTCAGTGGCAATATTGTGCCATGTGAATCGTCCCAGTGCACTCTATGAGACCAGTCACAGTGTGTAAAGTTAAGCACGTGCTTAAATCTTTGTGCGCTCGGGGCTGAAGTTGCTTATTTTTGAATATTGTGGTGTTTTCTATAATTACATGAGCTAGCTTTTACAGTGGGCATGTTTAAAAAGTCCATTTTACTTTTAGTGGTGCTAGTAACTATTTCCAAACCAAGTTTTTCACTGAAAAGTTCTTTTAAAAAAAAATCCATGTAATCTTTTGACATAGATGTTCTTTTTTCACTCAAAAATGTCATGTCTTTCTGATATTTAGACTTTTTAATAGGAAGTGTCAAAATAGTCAAAATTTTTCATTTGCTGAAAACCCCCTTTTCAGTAAACAATACATTTCCATGAACTTTTAAATGATAATTGGAATAATGCTTTGGGTAAACACTTCAGAAATTTAAAAAAATTGTGACAGATTTTAATAAAAAGAAAAAATCCATTTCAAAACCTTTCAAATTAAAACAAGTTTGACATTTTGAAAATGTTAATTAAATGAGGTTTTTTTCCCCCTTTTTTTTTAAACCAGCTACAATTTTGAGAGCGATTCCTGGTTCCAGTGGCATTTCCCATTTTAAAAGTCACACCTACAGGTAGAATCTTTTACAATGGAATGAACTTTTAAGGTATGACTACTCCACTTTTAAAAGTCCAACAAGAGACAATGATTAAATTTAAAAAGGAAAGGGTTTTTGTTTTTTTTGGGGGGGAGGGTTGTCAATTTTTCTTTCGAATGAATTTTCATCATTTACAGCAATATGGTTCTGGAAATGTCAGCAGAAAAGCAATTCAGTGACCCCTTTAAATGCAATTAATTTAAAATATTTAAATATATTTCAAGTAGCAAGAATCCTGGATTTAACTTGAAGGTCTTATTTTAGGAAAATATGTTATCTTGGGGGAATATTCCACTTCAATCATTCTTTATAATGGTTCAACATACTGCACATACATTAAAATACTTTAACATTAATGTATTTCCACTAAATGACTCACATCTACTCAGATACTAGAAGCTTCATTATTAGTGAATGCACAAGTGGTACAATAAAGATGAAAAACAAATTAAAAAGAAAAACAAAGAAGAAAAATGTTAAAGGGCTGAGATAGACATCACACATGTGTTAGCCATTCAGTAGCGTCAGGGTCAGCAAAATGGAGCCTGGAAAGTCCTGCTGATAGACCAGCATGAGAGGAGCAGCCATTCAGTAGGTGTATGGCACTCAACTGCACCACAGCTATGCGATGGCACTTCCTGAGCCCCGCCAGTCTAGTCTTATTAGCTAGATCCAAACTTGAAACTAAACCTGAGAGAAAAATCTAAAAGTAGTGTGGGGGAAAAATTCAAACCCTTGAACTTGTTTTCCTTTCAAAATGGAACCATTTTTTTTGCAATATTAATTTATCAACATTTTATGAAAATAGATAAACAATAAATTGTAATTTTAATATTTGCATTCAATTTTTTCAATAATTTTTACACTTTTTATGAAATATTTGAACTATTCACAATTTTTTGCACAAAAAATTTTAAATATATATTTTTTTCAAATAGCTTTTTGTTAGAAAAATTTCCACCAGCTCTACCTGAAACGTTTGTTTGCTTTTTTTAGGCTTGTTTTCCTTCAGGATTTTTTTTTTTTAATGGAGAAACAAAAATAAAGAAATTGCTATTTAAAAAATGTGAAGCCTGCAGACTGGTAAATGCTCAACTCTCAGACGTGGTGCTAAGGATAACCTAACCTAGATTAGACTAAGTCAAGTCCAGAGTTACTTTTTTGATCATTCCTTTTTCACATTAATATTGTTTCATTCATAAAGTGTGATGTGGAATACAGGTTAAAATGAACAGGTGTAACTTTATTAAACCCTGTGGACTGTTCTGTCCATGTGGCTGAGTTGCTTCCAGCCTCGCGGCCTGCATTCCCTATTCCATTGGTGTCTTATCAGTAATGTCCCTCTGGAAACACTGGCTCTGTGAAGCCAGTTCCACTGATGATGATACATCTTCCCTATTTTACAAACATTGGTATAAACTTTAAAAACAAAGAATTGATGTTCAGACTCCCATCCCACTTCCTTTCAGCCTGAAGCTGCTAATGTATAGCTGAGCTGGAGTCTCGTTTTTACCACAGACTCAGCTGGTTACATAGATTGAGATAATTTTGGTCTTCTCATCAGGGGACCACACAGGAGTGACTGTCTCACTGCACCATATATCTGTGGCTATTGTGCCTGATAGGGTTTTTATCCTTTCTCTTTAGGTTTCCGTTGTATTCCCCCTGTAAACCTCTGTTGGAAATATTATTTATTCAGGGTACTAATTCACAATACTAATGTAAGCATAAATTCCTTTATTAAATCCAAAGGATTTATAAATAAATGGTATTTATAAAATTGCTCTAAATAAGCAACAATTTATTACATCTAAACAGTAACAAAACATTTATAAGCATTTGATCAAGATACTTACAAACAGGCTAAAGTCCTGGGTGCTTAGACCCATAGTAATTAGCTCCAACTTGGTCAGGCAGCTATTAGCAATGAACTCTGTTAAAGGGTATATTAAAAAAAAGTAACTCCTCTTAAAAACAAGTCATGTTATTGCCAATTACTGGACCTTAGCTAAGGCCAAATGTAGGCATTTATGTACCTGATTATTGTACCTGGTACCCAATTAACCATGGTTTTTTTTCTATTACCTTATTTAAGATTTGGGCTAAAACAACACTGGTATTTCCAAGGGTCACTACAAGTTTAATACAATCTTCTTTCTCATGATCTCTTCCTTTTTGGTCACATGCTTTGGGCCTGTTGCTCATGCTAATATCCCCACTCAATTTAAAACCATAATTCACACAAATCTAATGTGGATCTACATTACTATCGTGCCTGTCTGTGAGATTGCCTTGCCGGAGCACCTCCTGTCATAGGTGCTGATCCCAACTGCTGCAGACTGACCCATCCCAAATCAGGGAGTCTGTCAAGTTCCCCAAAATTGCTTGTAGCAGCCATTATGCATAGGGCAATTACATAGTGGGTCTATCCCCTGCCCCTCATTAGTCTCTGTTGAAGAACCTCTGTCACTCCTCAGTTTTGTTGTGCTTTTGGAAGCAGTAGTTCCCCAGGGCTCCTAGAATCGCTATGAGGCCTGGGGAAGTGATGAGCTTCAGAGTGGTACAAATCTCCTCTGCCTTGTTTCCCAATAAGGTAACTTAACACTTTTTTTTGCTTTCCTGCTGTTGTCATCCTCCTGCACAGCCAGGTCTGTGTACAGCTCAAACTCCTCCTTCCATCACTGTAAAATCAAGGGCTCTGGGGGACTTCAGACCAAGTTCTGTGGCACATGCTACCAGCTGCTACGCTGCAGAGAACTCTCAGCTTTGATGCCATACTTCGTTAGCAAACAATGAAGCTGAGCACATATTAAATTGAACAAGTGGAACTTTCATGTAAGCTGAGGGCTTACTCTGTCCATGTGACTGAGTTACTTCCAACCTAATTCCCCACATTCCTTGTTCTACTGGTGTCCTGTCAATAACAGTCCCTGCGGGGAATCTTGTCCCTCTGACTTCAGTTTCACTGACCCTGATACAAATAGTGTCAACAATCTTTATTTTTCTGTCTTCCCCTCATTTAATAAAGGTCTAAAGTTGATGGAGGAATTCCATATTTTCTCATACCACTTTTCATTTTAGAAATTCCCCCAAGGACAGAGCCGCCCAAGCACAAGAGGAGGCGCCAGATGCTGCCCTTGCAAGGTGTTCTTTCCCTGCAAGAGCAGCCAGGAGCAGAGTTAACCTGATTTACAAAAGGCTAGCTTTTGTTCTAGTGTCTAGTCCCTGGTCTATGTGCAGAGCAGCGGCAGAGGAATGGTCTTTTAAGAGGGTAGAACAGAACAACAACACACACAGTAAAGAAGTGGGAAGAAAAGAACGGGAAGTGAGCAAACAAAAAACTACAAGTGAGGAAGAGCCCCCCTCAGTGAGCAAGAAAAAACCAACAGAACAAGGCATGAGGGAGTTGCAACAATGGTTTTGCATCAAACAGTATACATTTGGGGACTGAATTTGGTTCCTGGTTTGCTGCTCCAGGTGTTGTAATTGTTCTAATGTGGGTGCAAGTGTTTGCATTTACAAAGGGCTACCTCTATTACATGCATATGGTACACCAATGAGCCAAGGTCAGGGATTGAAAATCAGAACCTTTAATATCCCCCTATTATAAATAAGTGGGACTGGAGGGAGAGCCTCCTCACAAACATGAGATAAAATTCCTGGTTTCTTAAATGATGAAAAGGAGTAGAGGGATAGGATCTAAAAATGGATTATTTTGGCTGGGTTCCACAGTAAGAATCCTGAAGCTGTATCTGAACTGCTCATGCTGAAGAATAATTTTGCCAACAAAATTTGTTCTGAGTTGTTTTTAACTTACTTGGTTAGTATTTTGCAAATATGTTTTGCAAGGTTCCTACCAAAGAATTAAAACATAAACAAAATATGGAGGAAAGGAGGACAACATACAATTTAGTTGCTAAGTAGTTGGTTATATTTACCATGGGTTTTGTTAGCTCTGGGTGTGTGTGTATTTTTGGATGCAATTTTTTAAAGAGAAGCGTGGGGTTTATAGGCTGCATAAATATGGATACTGGAGAAACAGATCAAAGCCTCAAGCGTGAAATATGTCTGTGCGGAAGACAAAGCTTTCTCAGCAAATGACTATGAATCTGGAATTCATTCTTCGGTGATATCATGATGACCTCAGCATCTTTTTCACAAAATGCAAAAGCTACTGCATTTTGATCTAGCCTGCACACCATGACATCACAGTTGGGGGAAAAATACCTCCTGCCAAAACAAGAAACCATATAACATAGACTACTTACTAGGGAAAAGTGAGAGAAAAATCGCTATCTTGTATATGCTAAAATATTGGGAGATATTCAGAAATCTTGTTGAAGGCCTTCTGAGACAGGAAGCTGCGAAAAAAGGAGTGCTACGGACTAGAAAAATTGTTATATAATATCCTCTTTCAGTGTATCCTCTCACTTATGCAGAATGACTCAATCCTGCATTCCTGGTAGTATTCCCAAAACCAATATACACTCGAGACTTCACTGGGAGTTTTGATTGCAAAAAAAGGAATGCAGGATCTGACCGAGAGTCAATAACTGTACACACATGTAAACCCCAACTAGAGTTTGCCAGCTCCTGGAAGGCCAAACTCATACCTCTGAAGCTGCAGACTCTAAAATGTGGGACAGTGACCTTCAAAATGAGGGACAACACACCTTGAAATGAGGAACACTATAAGGGACATTACGTTTTCATTGAAAATAGCCTGGAACTTTCTATAATGAAAATCAACAGTGATTCTGTGTCCTAAAGCCATACTTCGTGTATGAAGTTTGAGAGCAGCCCTGAGACATCTCCTTGCAAAGCACTGCAATGCCCTAGTAACTTGGACATTTCTTGCATTGCACAAAAGGAATCCACAAGTTACAACTATAGATGCCCAGAACAGAAGAAGCTCTTCTTCAGCGTTACCTTTCCTCCCTGCTCTGCTACTTGCCACCCGTTGCACTTTCCATTTATGCAGAAAGTCATGCACTAGCTGGGGTGGAAGGGTGGGGGAGGAGAAATTTTATTCCTTTTAAATCACTTCATTGAAACCTGTGCAGTAAGTGCTTGCAGAAAATGCATGGGAATCATTAGAAGTGATTACAGCGAAACTGTTCATTGTGCTGCTGCCTCTAGCCTTTGAGCTCGGCTGCTGCTGCCGAGCACGCAGTGCCAGCTGCCACTCAGCACGGTGCAAACAAAACATCAACCCTTCCTGCATGATCGAGCCAGGATGCTGTAATCTCGGGATGTGCCATCCCACATCCCTGAAAGGAGTAGAGGGAGGGGCAGGGTATTAATTAATTATTCCCCCCTTCTAGGTGCTATTTGGTAGCTTGGTCACCATTATTCCAAGTTGTTTTTGTTGTTTCCTTCTGTTTCTCTTCAAACAATCGCCTTCAACCCCTCCCAGAGCTGAAGTCACCTGACACAGCTGAGACGAGTCCTAAGACAAACATTATGCATTCAGAATGTATGTGATGAACGGATCATCCGCCGGCAGCCTTCTCAGCCGTGATCACACGCCAGCAGCCATGATGGGCCTAGTGAGATGGGTGGAGGAACTCGATGGAAATATTTCACTTTAGAAAGGATCTACAGTACAAATAACCTCAAGAGACGATGCTGACCCATACAGCGTGCACACACCTCACAGGATTCCGATTCTATTACTTCATAAAGTGGAAACTGAATTAAAGAGACTGGAATGGATTGATATGATTGAGAAAATCTCTGAGCCAACAGTATATTGTGTTTCAGTGGTACCAGTTATTAAAATACAAGGAAAAATATGGAATCTGTGTGGATCTTAAATGACGTAATGAAGCAGCTACAAGAGAAAAATGTATTCTCCCACCACTGGATGACTTCCTCCCCAAAGTGAAAGGAGCTACAGTGTTCTCCGAGCTGGATACCTTGAGCAGATTCTGGCAAATTCCTTTAGCTAAGAAAATGCTCCATTTATCACATCCTTTGGGAGATTTTACTTTTAAAGATTACCTTTTGGGACCACCAGTGCACTTGAAAATTTCCAAAGAAAGATGGCAGAATTGGTAACTGTTTGGCCAGCGTGGCAAGCTGCAGGTGACCATGCAGAGCTCATCAGCAGAGGTGACCATGATGGAGTCCCAGAATCACAAAAGAGCTCCAGCATGGACCGAACGGGAGGTACGGGATCTGATCGCTGTTTGGGGAGAGGAATCCGTGCTATCCGTTCCAGTTTTCGAAATGCCAAAACCTTTGTCAAAATCTCCCAGGGCATGAAGGACAGAGGCCATAACAGGGACCCAAAGCAGTGCCGCATGAAACTGAAGGAGCTGAGGCAAGCCTACCAGAAAACCAGAGAGGCGAACGGCCGCTTCGGGTCAGAGCCCCAAACATGCCGCTTCTATGATGAGCTGCATGCCATTTTAGGGGATTCAGCCACCACTACCCCAGCCGTGTTGTTTGACTCCTTCAATGGAGATGGAGGCAATATGGAAGCAGGTTTTGGGGACGAAGAAGATGATGATGAGGAGGTTGTAGATAGCTCACAGCAAGCAAGCGGAGAAACCGGTTTTCCCGACAGCCAGGAACTGTTTCTCACCCTGGACCTGGAACCAGTACCCCCCGAACCCACCCAAGGCTGCCTCCTGGACCCAGCAGGCGGAGAAGGGACCTCTGGTGAGTGTACCTTTTAAAATACTATACATGGTTTAAAAGCAAGCATGTGAAAGGATTACTTTGCCCTAGCATTCGCGGCTCTCCTGGATGTACTCCCAAATCCTTTGCAAAAGGTTTCTGGGGAGGGCAGCCTTATTGCGTCCTTCATGGTAGGACACTTTCCCACTCCAGGCCAGTAACACGTACTTGGGAATCATTGCACAACAAAGCATTGCAGTGTATGTTTGCTGGCGTTCAAACAACATCCGTTCTTTATCTCTCTGTGTTATCCTCAGGAGAGTGAGATATAATTCATGGTCACCTGGTTGAAATAGAGTGCTTTTCTTCAGGGGACACTCAGAGGAGCCCATTCCTGCTGGGCTGTTTGCCTGTGGCTGAACAGAAATGTTCCCTGCTGTTAGCCACGGGGAGGGGGGAGGGTTGAGGGGGTAGCCACGCGGTGGGGGGAGGCAAAATGCGACCTTGTAACAAAAGCACATGTGCTATGCATGTAATGTTAACAGCAAGATTTACCCTGAAAGAGTTTAGCCACTGTTTTATAAAATGTGTCTTTTTAAATACCGCTGTCCCTTTTTTTTTCTCCACCAGCTGCATGTGTTTCAATGATCACAGGATCTTCTCCTTCCCAGAGGCTAGTGAAGATTAGAAAGAAAAAAAAACGCACTCAAGATGAAATGTTCTCCGAGCTCATGCTGTCCTCCCACACTGACAGAGCACAGACGAATGCGTGGAGGCAAATAATGTCAGAGTGCAGGAAAGCACAAAATGACCGGGAGGAGAGGTGGAGGGCTGAAGAGAGTAAGTGGCGGGCTGAAGACAGGGCTGAAGCTCAAAGATGGTGGCAGCGTGATGAGAGGAGGCAGGATTCAATGCTCAGACTGCTGGAGGACCAAACCAGTATGCTCCAGTGTATGGTTGAGCTGCAGCAAAGGCAGCTGGAGCACAGACTGCCACTACAGCCCCTGTGTAACCAACCGCCCTCCTCCCCAAGTTCCATAGCCTCCACACCCAGATGCCCAAGAAAGTGGTGGGGGGGCCACCGCCAACCAGCCACTCCGCCACAGAGGATTGCCCAAAAAAAAGAAGGCTGGCATTCAATAAATTTTAAAGTTGTAAACTTTTAAAGTGCTGTGTGGCATTTTCCTTCCCTCCTCCACCACCCCTCCTGGGCTACCTTGGTAGTCATCCCCCTATTTGTGTGATGAATGAATAAAGAATGCATGAATGTGAAGCAACAATGACTTTATTGCCTCTGCAAGCAGTGCTCAAAGTGAGGAGGGGAGGGTGATTAGCTTACAGGGAAGTAGAGTGAACCAAAGGGCGCCGGGTTTCATCAAGGAAAAACAAACAGAACTTTCACACCGTAGCCTGGCCAGTCATGAAACTGGTTTTCAAAGCTTCTCTGATGCGTACCGCGCCCTCCTGTGCTCTTCTAACCACCCTGGTGTCTGGCTGCGCATAACCAGCAGCCAGGCGATTTCCCTCAACCTCCCACCCCGCCATAAACGTCTCCCCCTTACTCTCACAGATATTGTGGAGCACACAGCAAGCAGTAATAACAGTGGGAATATTGGTTTTGCTGAGGTCTAAGCGAGTCAGTAAACTGCGCCAGCGCGCCTTTAAACGTCCAAATGCACATTCTACCACCATTCTGCACTTGCTCAGCCTGTAGTTGAACAGCTCCTGACTACTGTCCAGGCTGCCTGTGTACGGCTTCATGAGCCATGGCATTAAGGGGTAGGCTGGGTCCCCAAGGATACATATAGGCATTTCAACATCCCCAACAGTTATTTTCTGGTCTGGGAATAAAGTCCCTTCCTGCAGCTTTTGAAACAGACCAGAGTTCCTGAAGATGCGAGCGTCATGTACCTTTCCCGGCCATCCCACGTTGATGTTGGTGAAACGTCCCTTGTGATCCACCAGAGCTTGCAGCACTATTGAAAAGTACCCCTTGCGGTTTATGTACTCGGCGGCTTGGTGCTCCAGTGCCAAGATAGGGATATGGGTTCCGTCTATGGCCCCACCACAGTTAGGGAATCCCATTGAAGCAAAGCCATCCACTATGACCTGCACATTTCCCAGGATCACTACCCTTGATATCAGCAGATCTTTGATTGCGTGGGCTACTTGCATCACAGCAGCCCCCACAGTAGATTTGCCCACTCCAAATTGATTCCCAACTGACCGGTAGCTGTCTGGCGTTGCAAGCTTCCACAGGGCTATCGCCACTCGCTTCTCAACTGTGAGGGCTGCTCTCATCTTGGTATTCATGCACCTCGGGCAGGGGAAAGCAAGTCACAAAGTTCCATGAAAGTGCCCTTACGCATGCGAAAGTTTCGCAGCCACTGGGAATCATCCCAGACCTGAAACACTATGTGGTCCCGCCAGTCTGTGCTTGTTTCCCGAGCCCAGAATCGGCGTTCCACAGCATGAACCTGCCCCATTAGCACCATGATGCATGCATTGTCAGGGCCCATGCTTTCAGAGAAATCTGTGTCCATGTCCTGATCACTCACGTGACCGCGCTGACATCGCCTCCTCGCCCGGGATCGCTTTGCCAGGTTCTGGTGCTGCATATACTGCTGGATAATGCGTGTGGTGTTTAATGTGCTCCTAATTGCCAAAGTGAGCTGAGCGGCCTCCATGCTTGCCTTGGTATGGCGTCCGCACAGAAAAAAGGCGCGGAACGATTGTCTGCCGTTGCTCTGACGGAGGCAGGGGCGACTGACGACACGGCTTACAGGGTTGGCTTCAGGGAGCTAAAATCAACAAAGGGGGTGGCTTTACATCAAGGAGTATTTCAGGCAGGACTTCACGGAGGGTTCCAATAAGAAATGGTGCACCTAAGTTATTGTTCTTATTGGAACAAGGAGGTTAGTGTGGCCTCTGATTGATACATGGCTAGATTTACCTCGCTGCACCTTCTCTGTGAGTGACTGCAGTGTGACCTAGAGGAATGAGTCCCCTAGACGGGGGAAGGAGGCAAATGAGTACAAAACAAATCTGGTCTATTTCTTGTTTTGATCCACTCCATCTATCTTTTACATCTTTGGCTGGCAGCAGACGGTGCAGAAGGACTGCATGCCATCCACATCTCATGGCTGCTCAGCAGAAGATGGTGCAGTAGGACTGCTAGCCATCCTCATCTCTTGCCTGCCCAGCAGAAGATGATGCAATAGGACTGCTAGCAATCCGTATCGCCTGCCTGCCCACCATAAGACAGTTCAATAGGACTGACTGCAGGACTAAAGAGAATGACCTGGTCAAGTCACTCCAAATTTAGTCCCTGCGCCCATGTATGCCCAGGCGCTCCCAGCCGACGTGGCCAGGAGCACCTTGGACATGACGAGGACGGCTACCAGTCGTACTGTACTGTCTGCTGCCACAAGGCAATGGGTTGCTGCTACTGTGTAGCAATGCCATACCGCGTCTGCCAGCACCCAGAAAACATACGGTGACGGTTATCTGAGCGGGCTCCATGCTTGCCGTGGTATGGCATCTGCACAGGTAACTCAGGAAAAAAGGCGCGAAACGATTGTCTGCCCTTGCTTTCACGGAGGGAGGGAGGGAAGGGGGGCCTGACGATATGTACCCAGAACCACCCGCGACAATGTTTTAGCCCCATCAGGCATTGGGATCTCAACCCAGAATTCCAATGGGCAGCGGAGACTGCGGGAACTGTGGGATAGCTATCCACAGTGCAACGCTCCGGAAGTCGACTCTAGCCTTGGTACTGTGGAAGCGCTCCGCCGAGTTAATGCACTTAATGCACTTAGAGCATTTTCTGTGGGGACACACACACTCGAATATATAAAACCGATTTCTAAAAAAACGACTTCTATAAATTCGACCTTATTCCGTAGTGTAGACATACCCTAACACAAATGGGGTTCTAGTTTTCATGGTCGACGCATGGATCTTGGATGGAAGAACACAAAACCCTCAAAGTCCTAAGCCTGATCAGTCCATCTGGATTAAAACTCAACAATGAAAAATGCATTTTTCACCTGCACCAAATCGAGTTTTTGGGATCGACAAAGAAAGATGAAATCAATCCGAGCCCTGAGAAAGTACAAGCAATTAGAGAATTGCTAGATAGATTCATAGAAGATAGGTCCATCAATGGCTATTAGCCAGGATGGGCAGGAATGGTGTCCCTAGCCTCTGTTTGCCAGAAGCTGGGATTGGGCGATAGGGAATGGATCACTTGATGATAACCTGTCTGTTCATTCCCTTTGGGGAACCGGCCATTGGCCACTGTCAGAGGACAGGCTGCTGGGCTTGATGGACCTTTGGTCTGACCCAGTATGGTTGTTCTTATGTTCTTAGTTGACTACACCAACTAATGTACCAGAACTGAGACGTGTACTGAGGATGATAAATTACATTGGTAGATACCTACAAAACCTTTCTACAGTGACAAAACCACTGAAATAGGTTATGGTGGCCTGTTAAGGGGCAGATATACCCCATCAGCCCCTTCGGGCAGTATGGCCAGGTGGCCCAAGTTCCTTAAGGCAGGCCTGGGCTTCAGGACCATAGGCTTAGTGGCTAAAGTCTAAGTAGCTGCTCTCCTTCCCAGGGCAGCATGGCCTAATGCCCAGAGTCAGTACGGCTGTCCCAGGGTTCAGGACAGTAAGGCCTTGTGGCCAAAGTCTTAAGTAATGGCCTTTGGTGGCCCAATTCACCTCCCCATATGGTGGCGGTGTCCATGGTGGGTTGGACAGGGCAGGGAGACCGGGACCCTCCCTTCTCCATCGGGTTCCATCCAACCTAGGGCCTTAGGGAACTGATACCTTCCTGCTCAGTGATGGTCACCTGTTGCGACCATCCCATTCCCTGGGTTGCTTCTTACCCCTTCTCCCAATGCGGGGGGATCCCTCGGCAATAACTGCCTCCCCTCCATCGGCCTCAGCAGTTGACTGGGGTTCAGTAGAGGCACCGACCTGGTTGGCATTGGCGTCTGGTGGCTCTGGCACTCTCCCAGAAGGAGCCTGTGGGGCATGTCTACCCTCGTCAGCAGTCAGCCCAGACTGAGTTGAGCTGCTTCCTCTTATACTGAGGTTCCAGTCAGAGCAGTGGAACTCCCTCCAGCCCAGTGTAGGGCAGGTATTCTCCATCACGGGGCCAAATTCAGAAATTACCTTCAAAAAGAAAAAAGAAAAAAAAGAATCTCAACAGCTCCCATTTTCAAGTACAACAATGTTAACCAACCCACAATGGTCAGCGTGTATACAATCAGCTATGGCCTAGATGGTGCATTGTTGCAACAACATGGCTCTGAATGAATTTTGCATTTTGCTCTTACACACTCACAGAAACTCATGCGCAGACTGAAAAGGAGTACCTGGCAAGCACATGAGAACTTTTACAGATCTCTGTGCAAACTTGATTTGTTTACACTGACAACAGACAATAAACCACTTGTAATGCTCATTAACGGAAAAGATCTGGATCAAGCACTGCTGAAATGCCATCTGTTGCTAAGGTTAATGAGATTTAATCCAATTGCTAAGTGTGTTTCTGGGAAAAAATTGGTAGTAGCAGACACTCAGTCATGGAGCCCAGCATCACACTCAACTGCCCATGAGCTCAAAGATGGTGTAGAAGCATACGTGGCTGCTGTGGACACGTATAGGCCAGTGTCACAAGAGAGACTACTCCAGATACAAAAAGCAATCTCGACAGACATACAACTTCAGGAAGTTCTAAGTTACATTAGGGGCAGCTGACTCAAGTATCTAAAGGACATTAAGGAAGTGACAAGAGATTACTTTGCAGTGCGTGTACAAGTAAGTGAGTCAAGTGGACTCATAATTAAAGGGATTTGGATTGCAATTCCAAATGAAATGAAAGGAGAAATCCTAAACCTCATCCATGAAGGACATCAAGGAATAACTAAATGTTGTGAACGGGCCAACCAGTCAGTGTGGTGGCTGGGCATCAGCAAGGACTTAAAGAATAAAGCATCTGTATGTGAACACTGCAGAACTTCCAGACCAACGTGATACAAAGAACCTTTAGTAACATGACATTTACCAGACCGATGTTGGACGAGACTAGCTGCAGATTTATACTAATTCAGAGGACATCATTACCTCATCATCGTGGACTATTTTTCACGTATATAGAAATAACGTACTTGAAATACATACCACGTCACAGTGTTATCGAGAAAGTGAAGTGAGCTTTTGCTCACTTTGGTGAGCAACTAGTGATGGACAACAGACCACAATTCACTGCAGCAGAATTTAAGTTGTTCCAAACAAAATATAATTTTGATCCTATTACTA